CATAGATTAATAAATGTATTAACCTAGGTGCGTTAAAATGAATTGCTAACTAAATAAAGATTTCTTGACATTACTGTGCATCAGAGTAATGGCTGATTGTTTCGGTGGCTCCCTTAGGTTGTGACCTGTATCTATTTTACACCCTGCCGTTCCATGCCATTTTATAGAGCCACCACTGGAATAAGAACAACTTATGAGTAGTCACTATTAATGATTTCTGAGGATAAAACGTTTCAGGCGGTGGAGACCTCTTGCAAGTTTTATTCTGGAGCATTGCACATTTTAAGGATCTGGTTACCCTAATAGTTCTTCATATATAACAGAAGGGCCATAAGTCTCCAGAAACCGCCGGACACCTCTGCAATAACAGATTGGTCACAGATCTCCATTCTTCGACAATGTACAAGTTGTTTTTAACCTAAATTTGAACAAATACTGTTTTGAGAATAAAATGTAGAAAATGTCTAAAAAGGAGGTTTGAAATGGCCCACTTGGTTAGAGGTGATGTGCATGATCGCTACAAGCACTGAATTTGATTTTGTCTGGCCACCACCCTTGACACTTGTACTGCATTTCTGCATGCTACGAGCTTGCATGGGTTGTTCCAGTATGTTTGTTTGTTGTTATGTGCTGCCAAGATGCCTCCAACTCATAGTGACCCAATGAATGAGAGATCTCCAAAATGTCCCGTCCTCAACAGCCCTACTTAGCTCTTGCAAACTCAAGTCTGTGGCTTTGTTTAAGGAGTCAATCCATCTCGTATTTGGTCTTCCTCTTTTTCTGCTGCCTTCACATTTCCCAACATTACTGTCCTTTCCAGAGAATCCTGCCTTATCATGATGTGTCCAAAGCAGGACAGCTTCAGCATTTTTGCCTCCAGAGATAGTTCAGGCTTAATTTACTCTGGAACCCATTTGTTTGTCTTTCTGACTGTTCCGGGTATCTCCAAACCTCTCCTCCAGCACCATATTTCAAACAAATAATTTTTTTCCTGTCAGCTTTCTTAACTGTCCAGCTTTCATAGCCATACATGGAAGACAAGAGTGTGGAAGATCTTGGTTTTGGGCTCCAGTGACATATCCTTACACTTGATGCACTTTTCTAATTCCTTTATTGCTGTTCTTCCAAGTTTCAGTCTTCTGATTTCTTTGTTGCAGTCTCCATTGGGATTAATGATTGAAGCAAGATATAAAAAATCTCTTAATTATTTCAGTTTCTTTATTTGTATGCTATACTAGGCAATAAATACTCCCAAACACATACTTGTTAAGAAATTTAACAGGGATAAGTGAAAAGTTCTGCACCGAGGGGGAACAAACCAGTGCACAGTTACAAGATGGAGAATACTTGGCTCAGCAATATTACGAGTGAGAAGGATCTTGCAATTGTTGCAGATCAAGAGCTGAATATGAGCCAAAAGTGTGATGTGGCTGAATAAAGTCAAATGCTATTTTAAGAATAGCATTTTAAGAATTTCTGCATTAACAGAAGTACTGTATAGTCTCCAAATCCTGTGAGGTACTAGTTCCCCTCTATTTAGCACTGGTTAGGCCTCATCTAGAGTACAGTGGTGCCCCGCATGATGACAATAATTCGTTCCCCTAAAATCGCTGTTAAGCGAAATCGTCATCATGTGAAAAGCAATTCCCCATTGGAATGCATTGAAACCCATTTAATGCGTTCCAGTGGGGAGATTACCTCGTTGTCCAGCGAAGATCGCCCATAGGGGAAGCAATTTTCTGAGTGCCGATCAGCTGTTAAAATGGCTGCCCCACGAAGCATGGGTCCAGAAAAGACAGGGCAGCAATTTTGCGAAGCAAAAAAAATCGTCGTCTTGCGAACAAACGGTTTGCTAAGCATGGACCTAATCGACGTCCAGTGAAAATCCCCCATTGATATGACCGTTTGCGAATTGCTATGGCAATCGCAAAAAGTCATCGTTCTGCGGTTTCGTCGTTCTGCGGGGCCGTCGTCGTGAGGGGCACCACTGTACTGTGTAGAGTTCTAGACACCACACAACAAACTGGAGCAAGTTCAGAAGAGGGCAATAAAGATGACCAGGGGGTTGGAAACCAAGCCCTACAAGGAAAGATTGAAAGAACTGGGCCTGTTTAGCCTTGAGAAAAGAAGACTAAG